CTGCTGATTGACAACCATCTTCTTTTGTCCAATCTCGGCATAATTGGCGTCATCCGCGAGTGCCGCGTAATTTTCATCGGGATTGAGGTCTTGTGGGAGCGGATCACCCTTTTGTAGCTTCGTCACCAAGATTTGGTAGTTGACATGATTGATCTGGTTATACTTTAGGACCTTATTCAGCAGATGAATGTAGTGATTGAAGTCCTGGCCCAGCTGGAAGATGAGCGCGCAGATACAGTCCATAGCAGCTTGTCGCAGCACGCGGTCGGTGCCTGCGACAACCCGAGACAGAGAATGGACCATCAATGATGCGAAGTCCGAGACGTTCACCTGCCGTGAAAGTTTGGTGAGGGTCTCGATCGCAGACTTTCGAATACTCTGAGGGTTTTGGGTCCTGTCAAAAAGACGCACGATAGAGGGAACAATCAGGTGCATATATTCCTCTCCGCTCGTACCGAATATCAAGAATGTGTGGAGGATCTTCTCCGAAGGTTGACGGCGCATCGTGGTGTCCTTCTCAAGCGTGTCAAGCATCGGAGGGATTAGGCCTGCAAGGTATTTCTTGAATTCACCTTCCAAGGACTTGGCGATCGCTTCCACGAGTGAGAGTATTGTAGCCTGAACTTGGTAAGATGCTTCCCAGAATTCGCGGACGACTTCAATGATCTCCGGCAAAAAGGCTCGTATGTGTTGCCGCACGATATTGACCAGAATCGCCATCTGATTGAAGTACGATTCAAGGCGGCCTGGGGGTGATCCTCTGATGACCGATATAAAACCTGGTATTATCTGTCCAAGGAACGGTACGCATTTCAGACCAAGTGTCTTGAAGATCGTCACAATGGCATCAATGACTGCAGAGTGATACTGCGCGAGAGACGATTCACGCAAGATGTTTTGCATAAGCGTGTTTATGACAACCGTAGGGTAGTACTCCTCGCTGGACGGCGTGAGACCTTGCATGATAAGAGCGACATCTGATACAGTCTGCACTTCATTGATGTGATGAACTACTGGCGCAGTCTCGCTGATCTGCTGGTATTTGTACGGGTCCAAGGCTCCAAGAATACCCAGCAACTTGATTGTCTCCTTACGCAGAGACCCGGTTTGCTCGGTCTTGATGATGTTAATGAGGACTGCGAGTAGATGAGAATATTCGAGGTACGGGTCAATAACGTAGCCGGAGTTGCTGGCCAGCTGGCCCAGTGTCTTCAAAGCCGCCTCGCGCTTGGAATGAGAAGAGAGATCCTGTAGCGCATCCAGGATAATCGGCATAAGCTGCGGCAGGTAGGTTTTCATTTCACTGCCACCCACGTTTGCAAGTTCACCAACGGCCCTCAATGTAGTGGAAGCAACACCAGGATTGGCATCAGTTGCCTTAGGTAGCAGTGTGGTCACCATAGGATCAACATAGGACCGGATCAGTTTCGTCGCATTCGAAACAAACAGGCTGATCAACTGAGCACTCTCTTCCTTTTGGCGTGCAGTGCTGGCGAAACCGAGACTCGTCAGAAGGTTGACAAGCAACTTCCGCAACGGTGGGAAGACGTAGGCAGGGTTGACACTGGAAAGACGACCTATGATACAGATTGCAGCCTCCCTGACGGGGAACACTTCATCATTGACGGCCAGGAATAGACAGCGGATGTTCTCCGGTCTAGCGAGGTGCCGATCAAATTTCCTATCCAGGGACCACAGGACAGTACGTCGAATGTCAGGGTCTGGATCTCCAACACCGACAGTCAAAAGCTTGTCAATTACCTCGCTCACGACCTGGATCGAATGACTGCTTGTCTGGTTTATGATAGGGTCATGAACAAACAGCTGACAGCAGGTGAGTGCTGAAGCTTTCCGAATTTCAGGGTTGTCATTCTCAACGTAGTTGATCGCCACGTCACGCACGAATTCGTTGAGAATATGACCAGAAAAGTCAAAACTGCCTAGCGTGTGCAATGCAAGGGCGATTTCCGTGTCAGAGTGTAGTTCTTGAGGGGCGAAATCCCTTGCGAATGAGGGCATTGGAGGTAACCTGCTCTCTGGGCATCCCAAGGGCCTGAAGGGGGTGCCATAGAGAATCAAGCTTAGCATATCCAATAATTTCTCTTGAATTATGGGCTTTATTGGCGGGATGTAGTGAGCCATGTCGACCAGCGCTTGTGTTAGGGACTCGCTAAGCCCGCAGGCGAAGATGGGATCGAGTAATGCTTCCATGTACTTGCTGAGCGCCTGGCCTACAGCCAAAGACAGCATGCTGATACACTCGAACATTGGCGCTTCTTGAACGGCAGCTCGATTTCTCCTTCGATACATTAGCTATACCGCACATGAGTACACTGGAGCTTGGGGGCTTACGCTTTCATTGCAAGACCTTCCCTGATATAGACGATGATGCCATCGAGATATTGTGCGATGGCGACCCCAACGGCATTCGCAATCTTTCCTATAGCGATGAACGCAGCATTTCGTTCTTTATCCCGTTTGAGTTGGGCCTGGAGGTATATCATGAATCTGTGAAGGTAGGTCTCTGTGAAGTCAAGGGGGGCGTAGGAGGCGAGAATCGGGATTGTCTGAACAACCTGAGTGCGGATCTTCGGATCACGATGATCCTTGAGACGGAGAACGATCTCACAAGCATTTCGATAGTGCTCATTCATGAACATGGCGCCCTTTAGGAGAAGCTCCTTGAGAACCAGGAGCGAGCCATGTATCCAATCCACATTGCTTGATTTGAGACCTAAAAGCGCTTCCTCGTATACCCTTGAGAACCATAACTGCCGAACCTGCAAATCTCTAGCAGCGATTATATCAAAGCATTCGCTGACAGCATTAGCCGCAGCTTCCCGTATGAGAACCTTGGGATCCCTCAAAGCGACCCAAATCAGCTCGAAGATCTGGGGAACGAAGCCGTAAAGAAGCGTGGGTGAGCCTTTCGCGAGCTCCCGGATGACGAGCACGGCAGCGAATCGTCGGCTTTCTTGTCTTTCTGACTGAAGGGCCTCTAAAGCAGATTGTATTTCACTCTCCACCAGCTCCGCAGTCAGAGCCCCGCCCGGTTTAGCCAAACGGCCAAGAGCCGCAGCCGCATAAACCAATACTGCATTGTCGTTGCTGCGAAGAGCATTGCGCAAGTAACTGGCGAATCGAGTGGTCTTCTGCGCGGCGTCCACTCCTTCAAAGTCTATCAGACGATCAAGAGCCAACAGGCCACCGATCTTCTCGTGTGCGTCATTTCCGGTAACTACCAGTTGTGCTATGCGCTGGCTGACCGCGTTAAAGAACTCCAAAAACTTCTCGGGGGACCAATCTAAGATGAAGAGCCAAAATTAGCGCTAGTCAGTGTCTGATACGAAGCGATGACATACCTCGAGAGATAGCGAGAACGTTGTCGTAAAGCTCGTAAGCAGCTCGCACCCGTGTCTCCTCATTCTTCGACTTCAACTCGGCGAAGAGCCGATGAGTTACGTCCGTAATAGGACCTGCTTGCGCCATTTTTGCGAACCACACCCCAGGGTGGACATTTGAAGTCAACCTCTAGGGCATGTATGATGGCACAAAGGGAGCATGGGCGAAAGAGCCGTTGATGGGCGGCGTTGGAGTGATGCGGGAGGTGAGGTCGAGGGCGTTCGGAAATCGTGCACGGACCAGGCGCTTCTGGCCTGGGGCATCTGCGGTGGGTTACATGGGGCAGCCTAAGGTGTTTGCGACTGATCTTACCCTTACATTCACCGTCTTTGGAGGGATTATTATGATGCCTATAGAAGTCCGTTAATTGGCTACTCAAATATGCTCGGCTACCTGATTAGTATTTCATTATCCCTAGGACTAGGCATCTCTGAAGCCAGTGCGACCCGAGCGCAAGTACAGCCTCGTTTACATTCTTATTTCGCCGAAGGAGGTGCCCTGAATCAATCCTTGCTTGACTGTCGGTCTTCTGATGCCCAATTTCAATGCTTTAGATGTCATGGGACTGTTTGACGGTGAGGTAATGCAGATCATAAGCCACATGCACACCCTATAGTTATTGAGGGACTACGGAATCTGGGGCGCCGGGGCTTCCTGGCTTCGGCATGATTGAACTCTTTCGTACAAGCGTAAGCAGGTAATTAAATAGTTGCCTGCGCGCAAAGAGCGACAAAAGTACCATTATGTACGCGGTGTCTGACAAAATAACTTAGAGTCTCTTCCAAATGATGTAAAAGACTTTGCCCTGGAAAATGATATCTTGCGGTCTGTGCCTGAATATTATATAGGCCGAAGATCGAAAATTGAGGGTGTACTACGTATATGCGCTTTAGTGTAAACAAGGACATATGTAGTGGCTGAGTATATTAATGGCTTTTTGAGAAGCTTGACTTCCGCTCTGCACTCAACTGAAGTAGTAAGTCTTGAGGAGTTTGCAACTATCTTTGCAACTCATAATCTAGCTTCCAGAGGTCATTTGGGAAGGGCCTAGCATACATAGAGAAGCCCCTTATCTGTCACGATATGCGGACCGATCTCTTTAACATCGCGTTGTATATTATAGCCTATGACCAGAAGATATTGGCTAATGTCGAATGGCGTAAGATGCTGTTTTCTATGACAACATTTGAGACTGCAGGGTAACTACTTAGTAGTAGCTCCCTTCCGGGCCGGGGGGTATGCCGCCAGTAGATAGTGGATAAGGGACACGGGCATCATCCACCTTCCCTAAGGGCCCTCGGCAATCTTGATAGCCAGCGCCTGCCGTAACCGGATCAGTGGCCATAAAATAAGGCCAGCTAGAACAATCACCTCACTTGCTTACATTCTGTCGGAGTTAACCCTGCAACGTAAGTGCCATAATTCCGTCCTCCTGGGATTTGTAATCGAGGCGGGAGCCTATCACATCCGCACGATAATGGCGACAGTGGACCTCGGTGGGGGATATGACGGTTCAGGTTGAAGAGGGGTAGCAGTCCGGAGTAAGTATAAAGGCAATGGCGTGCTGCCATACTTCTCTTAGGTAGGATACTGAATCAGACCCATCCAAGTGCCCCTGTATACGAACCCAGCCATCAATTGACCTCCCGTATAACTAGTATAGCAACCATGCCCAAAGTTCTCTTGAGTGGTAAGTATCATGATCTACAGACTCCCAGACATGGTTTTTAACAGAGCTAACTGGTTTTGTAGGAGGTAGCGGCTTCATTGCTGCTCACATTGTCGACATCCTGCTCGCGCATGGGTAAGAGTCAATGGCTCAGATTGCTTCCATAATATCACTAACCTGGCCACCGCAGCTTCGACACCGTGGTCACCGTGAGGTCCGAGGAGAAGGGCCAAAGGATTCTAGAGGCTCATCCAAATACGCCAAAAGAAAAGCTTTCCTACGTTATTGTTAAGGATGTCGCAGCAGAGGGTGCCTTTGATGAAGTACGGCTCCCTGTTATGCCGACCCATACCACCAATGCTTCCATGAAGTTGCTTGCTATGTTCAATACTAAATCATTGCTCGTGTAGGCCGTCAAATCTGACCCGCCATTCGACTATGTCCTGCATACTGCATCGCCCTTTCACCACAATGTTCAAGATCCAGTGAAAGACTTTTTGGACCCCGCCATCAAGGGAACAACCGGTATACTGAAGGCAATCAAGGCATATGCTCCAACGGTGAAGAGAGTCGTTATCACTTCTTCATTCGCAGCGATTGTCAATGGCAAGAAGCATGCCGAATCGTACAGCGAGAAGAATTGGAACCCGGTAACTTGGGAGGAAGCCTTGATCTCCTCTAATACCTACCGTGCGAGCAAGGTATGTGAAGGACCCTATGCTTGGACTTACATGAAATGATATCTGACTCGTCTATGCAGACTTTTGCAGAAAAAGCAGCCTGGGACTTTGTAGAGAAGGAGAAGCCGAACTTCGATATTGCAACTATCAACCCGCCCTTTGTTTTTGGGCCAGTTGTGCATTACCTGAACTCATTGGACGCCATCAACACTTCGAACCAGAAAGTTCGTGACGTAATTCAGGGAAAGTGGAAGGACGCCATTCCTCCATCCTTCACATTCCTCTGGGTAGATGTGCGCGATGTTGCACTTGCGCACGTCAGGGCTATCGAGGTCCCAGAGGCCGGTGGCCAGCGTTTCTTTGTCACCGCCGGTTATTACACAAACAAAGAGATTGCAGACGTGGTCAGAGAATCGCTGCCCGAACTTGAAGATAAATTGCCCTCGAAGGACATTCCGAGTGATTTTCCGGCGGACATCTACGGCTACGACAACAAGAGATCCGTTGATGTTCTGGGCATCCAATACCGGACGTTGAAAGAGTCCATTGCTGACACGGCTAAGTCACTGTTGTCCATTGGCGTCTGATGTAATGTATGGTTGGATATTATATGTACATATCTAGAACAAATCGGACCAGGAAGAAAGATATAGATAGGATGGAAATGATAATAGAAAATGCAGTGCTACTATTCGTTGAAATAAGAAAGAGGCTGCACAAGATGTAGTTGTAGTTTCCCGTATCACGTGGCTTGGCGCGCCTTGAGCATTGCAACCAAGTTTTCTCCAGCTTTCTCCGGAGATAGAACAATACCGCAAAACACCACATTGCCCAATGTCCGCCATGGCAACAGCCAGGCTATCTCCGACAGCAAATCTGCTGCGGAAGTCTCGCCTTTTCGCTCTTCCACAGGCTCTGACGCCACCCCCGACTCCGCCGACCTCGAAAAATGTCAACGAATCCGAGACCGCAACCCTTCCTCATCCTATCCGAGCGTCCATCGTCACACCGTCGTCTTCTCTTTCTAGGGGTGACTGGGGTTTGAAGAGGCCTCTCCCCGCCAAATCGACGTCCGAAAGATCTTCCAGGCCCGTGGTCAGAGTCAATGCACTCGATACCTTCGAACACATCACGGACTTCGAGTCCGCGGCCGATCATACGGTGACCCTGGAGAAATTCCAGGAGCTTAACATGCCGGTTTCGCTCCCCGCGAGAGTCACTTACGGAACCAGCATCATCCCCAGGCACCAGAGTCCATTCGAATCGCATGTCGACAACACACATACCAGCGAAGGCCTGAAGGAGCCCGGCGCGAGGCAATTCAGGCACTCTGGGCCCTGGCTTGCCGGGCAGACGGAGGCCGAGTTCCAGGCATACTTGAGGAAGGTCCGCAAGAACAAGCCCGAGATCCTACAGAAGCTTCGCGAATATTTCGTCGCCAAGCGCGAAGCCGAGCAAAGGAAGCAGGCACAAGATAACGGCCAGGATCTGGCAACTCTCCGACCTGTCGAGATCACCGACGAAGAATTCCAGGGCTACCTCAAGAAACTCCGCACGGATCCATTCTCGTTGGGCCCTGTTGTCTTTGAGCTTCTGGATCTGCCGTCTCCTCCGGCTGTACCGAGCAGCCGACTCAACAACCCATACTACCAGTCCCCCGGCAGCAAGCTCTCTTCCGCAGAGTATGTCGCATCCGGACCCCCAAGGACGCATCCCTCGGCGGGTCTGTCTTACACGAGATCGCACGCTTTGATCTACAACCACCCCAAGTATGGACCTCAGGCCCACCAACGCCCAGTAGAGGCACGTATCTTGCGCCCCAGAGGACGGAAGGGCAAGAACACGAAGGCAATTGCGGGTGTTGCTGGTATTGCCGTGGAAGACTTGAACACCGTCACCTTCACTGAGCAGGACTCTCCGGCTGGCCTTGCCTACTTTGACGCCTCTATCCCCGGTGGTGCTAAGTACTGGGCCACTCCTATCCGGGCCTTTGTCGACTCGGAAGGCAAGATTGGCCTGGCCTCTTACCGCGCTAGCGCCACTGCTAAAGCCCCCTACGGAATCGATAGCCAGAAGAAGCCGGGATCGTACAGCATCTCTGACGTGGCTCGCGGCGACCAGCGCGTGGTCCCCAGACTGGATAGACAGCGGAACGCCGCAGCAGAGACCGAGGAGGTTGCGCGGAACCTCATGAAGAGCCTTGGCTCATAGAGTACTGGCATTTCATTCCCAAACAACTTTCGTCTCATGTGTCAGATATGTTCCATCTTCCACTTAGAGAGTTTTGCTGTATGATTAGGTTTCTGGATGGTAAATGTATAGTTATTTCTTTGCACTTGTTCTGATTTCTTTGTGACATAAGCCGGCTACATCCCATTTGAAGTATAAATAAATTGCAACCATCAAAGACATCTCAGTAAACATTATTACTATAGACCATGATCGAGGCTGCCATACATAACCTAAAGCAACCCAGCCATTTCCATAATCGCTGGTCCGTTACATAATTAACGCTTAATAATCCCGCACAACGACCGACCGCTTTGGCATTACAACTCACGTGACCGGGAATAGGGCAGCCATATCAGGGTAGATAGCCATCACATGACCCGCACATCCTAAGCGAGGGCCGGGTAAGTTGAAGGAGCAAAAGACATCAGAACAACTTGGACGGTCTTTCGAACATCCATCCAGCCAGCAACAAACCGCCAAAATGGGTCGCGTCCGTACCAAGGTGAGCATACTCGACCGCAACGATGGAGGAAAGAAAGAATATCAATTCTAACGAAAATGCGCGCCATAATAGACAGTCAAGCGTTCCGCTAAGGTCGTCATCGAGCGTTACTACCCCAAGTTGACGCTCGACTTCGAGACCAACAAGCGTATCTGCGATGAGATCGCTATCATTGCCTCCAAGCGTCTCCGCAACAAGGTTAGTGACATCCCTTTTATTACTCCGGGAATTCCGGATGTGATATTCGAAAAGGGAATCAATAGGCTAATGTGAAATTTGATATAGATCGCTGGTTACACCACCCACCTTATGAAGCGTATCCAGCGTGGCCCTGTCCGCGGTATCTCCTTCAAGCTCCAGGAGGAGGAGCGTGAGCGCAAGGATCAGTACGTTCCTGAGGTCTCCGCTCTGGATGTTTCCCAGACCGAGTCCGGCCAGCTCGACGTCGACTCTGAGACCAAGGACCTGCTTAAGAGCATGGGCGTACGTTTTCCCCTCAATGAAAATTATCTTCAAATTGTATAATGGCTAACTCGATCGTGCTTTTAGTTCGACAACCTCAAGGTCAACGTCATCCCCGTCTCCCAGCAGCAGGCTCAGGAGCGCCCCCGTCGCTACCGGTAGATCATTGCGCCGTTGAACGGAAAATGAAAAAGTTCTGATTGTCTTCGGTCGATCCATGGCGTTTCCCCCCCATGCTTGTTCTGGTTGGCTCACCCAGCTATCGATTTAGCTTAGAGACAGTCCCGGATGAGAAATGAACACGAATTCTGTCAAACAAGGTGTCGCTGATTCCCCTGGTGGGGATGATGCTTGATTGCCAATTTTATTCCCTCTTCTGGCCTTACGGCCGGATGTCTCGTAGGAGGCTCTACGGGGAACGGCTGTCTGTTGAGGACATGCCGGACTACGGAGAGTCGATATCGTAGAGTTTACAGTCATAAGCCATTGATTTGGTTCTTATCTGACACGCTATCTTATCGGGGTATCAACCTTTGTTCAAAACGCCTCATAATGCCATGCGCCAAAGCATCTTAGTTCTCATGAGGAACGTATCCTTCGATGGAGCCTCCCTTCTCGTCTCCAGGACGCATCTGCGGTGCTTTCGCTGGCCCGCGGGGGTTATCGTTCTCCTGGACTTGAATATCCACTCTGCCAGTATAGAGGGCAGGATGCGCATCTCCTCGTTCCATGGCCAGTTCTCGTGAACGAGCCTCGTCGCGGACGGAGAGTCGTGCAATGTCATCTGCCATATCGCCAGGACCTCGTTGTTTCTCCAAGTGCATACTGTCCAACTGGCCAGCAACGTCGCGGATAGAGACGGGGTCTCTCATCTTGCCCTTGCCTTCTTTTGCCCTGGCCTCCTCCAGCAAGACGAGATGCTTGCCACGCGCATCGTCAGCCCTTCTCTCCCAGACTGGTTCTTCAGCCAGCTGTACTCGGATGTACATGGCTCTTTCGGCGCACTCATTTGAGCACCACATCTCGAGCTTCTCTTTGGGAACGATGTCCATCTCGCGCCCGCGGCCACCCCGCCCGCTTCCCTTCGCACCCCACGTTATGCGAAACGAGCCTCTGCCATTTTCCTTGCGATGCTCTCGAGGACAAAGACCGTAGCCACAGAGACCCTCGATATTCCTCTCCTCGATCAGATTGTCGTAGTCGGCGGGTTGAAAGGGGACCAAGGCAGACTTGAACTCCCGAACATCGTCGGGGGAGGGTGATGCAGGATCTGCTGAACGGGAAGACGGAAGTTCCACGAGTCTCAGAATGCGGTCGAGGATCAGAACCTCTGTGTCCTTTTGGGCTTGAATTTGATTCGCATGGTGCAAGGCGATAGCTAGATGGCGCGGATCGACGTCTGTCCGGTTTGCAATTGAGCTAGGTAGTTGCTGCTGTTGTTGTTGAGACATTTGAGGGGGTTTAGAAGGTGACGCCCGACGGTTTGGGGCGGAATTGGAGGGGCCAGATGCAGCGGTCGCTGCGTGGATCGAAGGAAGAGAGGTCTTCAAAATTGGAGTTGGCCGTCCAGAGGACATTCCAGCAAATATTCCGAACGGAACAGGTCAAAACGCGGGAAATATTATAAAGTCTGTGTCAGTCACTTGTGGTGGAGGAAAAGTGTATGGTGAGGAGAAGATAGTGGTAGAATGGATGAGAAGGTTGGATGGATAAGAACAAAGTTCCAAGGTTGTTCGGGTCGGCAGGGAGGCAAAAACCCCGGATTCAAGACGGCAAGCTACGGATACGTAATAACAAGGAGGGTCTTTTAAGTAGTTAGTTAGGAAGGGCAGGTTTAACAATGACTTTACATGGTGCATGCAGGATTGATTAAGGGGAGGGAAATATAAGCTGCATCAGGGACGCCACCAGTAGTAGTAGTATAAATATAAATTAAATAATATAAATCGAGTGATGTTGCTTAATTCTGCAGCTACCTGCAAGTGTATACATGTCTTCCTTTTTATTTATTATTAGTAGTATAGCATAATTTGTGTGGCTTAGTTGTAGTTTTAAAAGAAGATTAATTAAAAGATTATTTATTTTTATCTGGATTTAAATTTCTGATTTCTGTAAACAGTTTTACCAGGCTGCTAAGTCTCTGAGATTTTTTCTTGAAATTCTACTAAATTTATTAATAATTTTTATTTTTATTATTTTACTAGATAAAAAGAAATCTTTTTACTAGATTCAGTTAATAATCTTATAATTTTTTTTATAATAATATATAATTCAGTTACCAGTACTAGATCTTAATTAATTAATATTTTAAATTATTTTTTTTAATTCTTGCTAGCTAGAACCCGCAGTTTCTATAATTAAATTTTATTAATTAAATTATAAAAATTATATAAATTAATATTTTTTAATTTTTATTAAATTTAAAAAATTAAATTTTCTACTTAAATAAATAAGAATTAGTTTTATTAGATTAATTTATACAGTAGTTTATATAGTTTTATTTAGATAGAAAAGAGCTAGTTTATTTTTATCTAAATTATTAAAATTATTTTTTATTTATTATTTAAAAAATATAGAAGGGGACCAGGGGCCTAGATTATCTTTAATTAATTATATTCAATATATAAATTTTATTATTATTACTACTACTATTATTATTATTATTCTGTATAAGAAAGATGTAAAGATCCAGTATTATTAAATTTTTAATGATAAAAAAGTCTGTAGTAATAAATAAAAGTAATTAAATAAATTAATAATTCTGGCTAGTATTTGCTGGAATATAAAACATATATTAATTAAATTAAAAAGAAATAAAAAAAGCAAAAAAAAGTAATAAAAATAATAATTAATTTTTATTAAGTTAATTAAATATTTTATTTTTAATTTAATTAAGCCGGCTTTTAAACTTTATAAAATTTTTATAAAATACTAGAATTTAATATTAATTTATTTATATATAGGCTGGATTAGCCTGAATTACTTTTTTTATAAAATTAAATTAATAAATTTAAATAAATATAGATATAACTGGGGGGTATAGATTTATAATATATTTTATTTAATTATATAAAATTTAAAAAATTTTAGCTAGAATTTTAATAAAAATTTAAAAAATAGAAGATAATAGTTAACTAAAATAATTTTAATATATTAATAAATAAGTTTATTTATTTAAAAAGAATTTTTTTAATTAATTATAATAGACCCGCAGGTGATTTTTTATATTAATAAATTTATATTATAAATAAACTTCTTTAAATAGCTAGATCTAATCCGGATTTTAATTTAAGCTAGTAATATATAGATTTTAAAACTATGGAAATAACTGCTGAAAATACTAAATAAAAAAAATAATATATATCTTGTTTAAATTAGTATAGAAGATTATATAAATAAAAAAAATAAATAAATTAAAAATAAAATAATAAATAAAAAATAAGAAAAATAGGCTTACAGATAGCTATAATTATAATATTTATTTATATTTATATTTATTTTTATTATTTAATTATATTTAATTATAATAATAACTTTCCTATATTAAAGTATATATTATTTATATATTTTACTATAAGTTTAAGAATATTAAAGATATTTAGGGCTATATTCTTTATTTTAAATAATAAAGTATTTATATAAATAAGATTTTACTATACTGGCTTAATTATATATATATAATTATATTTAATATAATTTTAATATAATTTTTTTATTTTAATTAAATAGTAATTATTTTTCTGTTTTATAATTTATATCTTATTCTAGATTATATTCTAATATTTATTTATTAATATTATCTAATTTAATAAATTATATATATTTATTATATATTTTTATTAATTTTTCAGCTCTTTCTCCATAGCCGCTTTTATAAGATTTATATAGATAAAGTCTAGTAGTTCTATTTAATTTAACAACTTGTTTTTTATAATTATTTTTATAAAATTTATATAAATAATATTTAATAATTTTATTTAATTTTATAAGTCTTTCTTTATAATTATTTTAATAAAATTTATATAAATAGTATCTAGCAGCTCTGTTATATAAAGATATTTTTATTTTAAAAATATCTTAATTATTATTCTGTGTTTTTTCTTTATTTTAATTATAATTTTTTTTATATTTTCTATATATTTTAATTTACTGTTATTCTTGATGCTGTACTAGATTTTTTAAAATTTAAAAAATAATAATTTAGAATTAAATTTTTTAAATTAGTATTATAATAATTTATTATCATGACTAGTTTTAACAAAACTTATTAATTTCTTTTTAAAATAATTATATATTATAAGTTTTTAATATTTAATAAACTTAATAAGTTTGCTGATAGATTTTTGTCTAATTTAAATAATATTTTAACTTAATAAATTTCTTAATTTTTATAACAGTAACTTACTAATAATTTTTTTTATATTATATATTTATATAAACTATAGGAAGTTAGTAATTATAATTATTTAATAATAATTATTTCTAAAGTATTATTTTCAATTATAATTATATATTTAATATAAATAAAGATTATAATATCTACTGTCTTAATTATATTTCTAGTTTTATATTCTAGTATAATTATTCAGAATATAAGAAAAAATATAAAAATAAAAGACTGGAAGTATTTTATATAATAATATAAAAATATTTATATTTAAAAACTGCTTAATTAAGAAGAAGAAATATTTAAAAAAAAATAAATATTTAATTAAACTTAGTTAAAAATAATATTGATATATATATATCTGTGCCTCTGCCAATGCCTCTGACACCTCAATCAGTATGTCCGCCGGTGCCTCCTCCGGGACCCTATCCAGGGCCTTTAACATAATATCTATTGTCTTATCTACTATCTCATCCAGTATCTTATCCAGTATATCAGTAATCTTATCCAGTTAGTTTATATATTCTCTGTTACTAAGGCCTCTGAATATCTCCTACTTAGAATTATTTTTTAAAAATCTAATTTTTTTATTTATACTTCTACTACCTGGTATTACTGCTTTACTAGCAGGATATCTTAAATATAATAAGTATAATCTTTATTACTTTTAATATAATCTTTTCTAGAACAACCTCTAAAACCTATACTAGATTTACAAAGATTTTAATAAATAATATAGCAAGCAGTTTAAGTAATTATAATTTATTAAAATTAA